CAACACTGTGAATTCCTTAGGGAGGTGCCAGCCTTATCTTCTTGAACTTCCCACGCTCCTGCTGGGGGCTAAGAACACGCTTTTCTCCCTGAGCCTGGCCTTCATAAGTTCATTCCATCACACATCTTATAGACGGAAAAATACGGCATATGTAATATATACATACATATGCCATATACATATACATATACATATACATATATATTCATTCTGATTTTAAAACATCCAGATTTAAATAATTTTTCTCTCTTTAGAAACTGGTGTTTCTATATAGATTTCTTTTTTTCAAGCCAAAACCAACATTGGAAGATTTGATATACAGGACTTCCAGGGGAAGCAATGGCAAACTGAAGACAGCTCCACTGAGAGGGGAGCTGACAACCACAGTGGAATGAGGAGCCAGTGAATGGACCAACTTCTTGGAATTCCTCTCTGGAGAAGGAGAGGACTTGGGATAGCCCACACATACTCCAGACAGCAGCTTCTCACAAGGAGACCGTAAGACAGCAGTCTCTGGCTGGTTTAGAACTTTGGGAGCTGAGGGATTGCCATCTTTGCTCAAGCTGTGGTTGGCACCTTTAAAAGGACACTGGGTTCGCATATTTCTTTTCTTAATCACTTCTGGAAATTGCTTGTTTTTGGATACTAAGAAACTTCAGAAAGACAAGTTTCATCACACTGTGTAAGTTTCCTTCAATCCTTGGTGAAAGAAGTTTTATGCAAGTTTAAGGACTTTAAAAATTCTTATTTTGGAATAAACAGCAAAAAAGTGATTAGAATATTGATCTTGGAAAGTTATAAATGGACTAAGGGACCAGATGGATTTGAAATAAGATTTGGAAATTAATTACAAGAATCCACCCTGTGAGTTGTTTAGAATTCTATAAAAAATATTTGAAGATTTTGAAATTAAGTATAAGAAACCTTCCCATGCTGTTTTTTAGAAAAAATATATAAGAGGTAACTTTGAAGGTTGGATGCTACAGGGAACCAGAAAGAACTAAAAATTATAACTAAAGGTGAAGAGACCCACTAATATAGAATGGAGCAAAATAATCTAACTTTGGAGGAATTTAAGGATATTTGGGAATAATATACTCAGAAATTGCTCTTAACATTGTCTGTCATTATAAAAATGGATTTAAAAGAGCTCATAGAAGAAGAACAGATTTTACTGGACAAAATAGAGACTGAGGCTGATTCGAATGTGAATTTAGAAATGACAGATTACATGAAAGATATGGAAAAAGATGTTATACTGAGTTTACAAATGAAACCAGCTGATGTTTTAATAATTAAAAGGGATATACAAATAACAAACCAGAAGAGTGACTTGGATAACTTTCTTATTTTGGATTTACACAAGAGGCTTGTCAAAGTTTTGAAGGACCTTTTGAGAAGAGACAAAGAGAAAATGAAAAGAAATCAAATTCTGGGACACTATTTAAAAAGTTTAAAGATCAAGATTGTTAAAAGTAAAAGGAAGAAATATAAAGTTGGTTTATTTGATTAAGGTTAAACTATATATGTTGTTGTTTCTGGTAACTCTTATTGGATTTTTGCTGACCAGGACTGAAAGTTGAGGCTTTAAAGATTAGTTCATAGACAAGAGATGAGATATGGGAAGAAGAGATATTTTGCTGTATTTTCAGAGAAAGTGATAAGTTATTGTGCCAAGAGAAAAGGAAAGGAATATAAAGTTGGTTTATTTGATTGAGGTTAAAATATATATGTTGTAATTTCCGGTAACTCTTAATGGACTTTTGCTGATTAGGACCGAATGATGAAGCTTTAAGAATTTGTTTATAGATAAGAGATGAGATACATGTATAGGAAGAAGAGATATTTTGCGGTAGTATCAGAGAAGGTGATAAATTACTGAAATTGTTTGTACTTGTGATGAAGGGGGAAGTCATTTCTTTATATA